AGATTTACTTGGTGCAGTATGTGTTCCCTAAGGCCTGCCAAGTTAGCAGGTTTCGTTCCGTATACATTGTTTTTAACATATCCCCATAAGAAGTAGTCCAATGGAGAAAGATCTGATGATCTAGAGGGCCACTCTATTTCTTCACATCTTGTTATCCATCGGTTTGGGAAAGTATCAGTTAAAAATTGACGCACTACTACTGCATAGTCCTTATCTCTGCTGACACATACCACACACACACACACACACACACACACACACGCACACGCACACGCACACGCACACGCACACGCACACGCACACGCACACGCACACGCACACGCACACGCACACGCACACGCACACGCACACGCACACGCACACACACACACACACACACACACACACACACACACACACACACAGGGGGTGTAAAGTCCGACCATGCAACCTCCACATAGTACATCCTGACTAATACTAATGTTGGCGGCACCGTAAATTCTAAAGCTCATAACTCAGACAATTCTCGACAAAAATAGGTCATCAAATAGTGTTTTGGAAACGTCTCGCTGTTATCTTTAACACTGTGTGATAAAAAGTGGGATGTTCTATTTAAAAAAATCATGTTGGCATTGACCTCGCCTTGACTCCTCTACTCAGGGTCAATGGATATAATCATTTAATAGAACTTTTAAAATACTACAACTTTAGTTGGAAACATTTTTCTTAAAAATGTTTTGTTTTCGAGGTATTTGACCGTTTCCAGACTAGTTTTTCTAACTAAAGTGATATGGTCCATTATCGATGATTTTATTAAAAAATTTTTCGAACGAAAATTGCATGGTTTGAAGGACAACATATGACGGAAATGTGGATTTGACCTTGAGTAACCTTGTCAAAATCAGGCCAAGGTCATTAACGTTTTTTTAAATAAAAACTATTATTTTTTATTACATATTTTTATAGCTTATCTCGAGAGCTTTCCAAAACACTCTAACAAAGTTACATTTCATTAAGAACTTTTCGAATTATGAGGCTTGGAACTTAGAGCAAGACCGATTACTGATCCGACCAATTAAGGCAAGATCAATTCGAATATGTCTTTAGCCGTTAATAAGTCTTGGTCTTAGTACGAAATAAAACCTCCTTGCTTTTATTACAATATCTTGTAAGTTAACAAATATTCTTCACACATACAAACATAGTATTATTATATTTTTATTGAGTAGTGCACTGAATATCTATGACATTGTTCTGAGAGTTTCCTCATTTAGAGCGACGAAACAAATATATTTTATGAATTTTTTTTCGCGCAGATAGAAAATTTCACGGATGTAATTGTTTTTGGAGATTATTTAATACTGTATGAAAAATATTTATTAACTTACAGGATATTGTAATAAAAGCAAAGAGGTTTCATTTCGTACTTCTTAATTCTGTTACAATATTCTTTTATATTTCATACTACATCCTTGTATAACTTAAAATTATTCTTAAAATATTATTAAACAATTCGATAATCAAACCTGTGAACCTGCTCGACTCCGCAAAATAATTAATAAAATATATTTCATTTTGTTGGTGCCGAATATTATCAATACTATTACAAATAATATTACAAATGATATAAATTTTTACAAATAAAATTTGTATTATTTGTAACATTATTATACAATTACAAATAAAATTACAAATAATAATATTACAAATAATAATATTATTAATAATAAAATATTATTTGTAATAATTTCGGTGCGCCGAGTAGACAAAACTTTTCAGTATTGTCATAGAGAGGAAAGGAGAGAGAGAGACAGTCGCGCCCGCGATTCAGATTATGGGCAAGAAAGAATAGGCACGCTAGCTGAGCGAGAACGAGAGCGACAAGGAGGGAATGATATTCTCTCTCTCTCTCTCTCTCTCTCTCTCTCGCTCGGCGCGTCGACAATTGCCGATCGCGTGGCTCACACGGATAGACCGAGCCGGCTGTGTGCGTGCATGGGGAGGGAGGGAGGGAATCCTCGTGCAAGCCCGTCATCAAATTCGCATCACTGATACTAATGATGTCAAAACCGAACAAGCTGCGGACAAACGTAACTTGTAAATATCAGAGATCAACTGTTTATCAGCTCATAGACAATTAATATGAGGAGATACCCGCGGAGACCCGTGTACTTCTCTTTCGTCTTTGCGTACAATTGCGATCAATAAAAAATTTTCACGAATTGTTCGGTTTTGACATCATTGGTATACGTGTGAATGTGTGTGTGTATGTGTACACGTACAATTGCGATATACACTTATCATGTTAGCATTGATCATTTTTATTCATGCTAAAAAAAGATAAGTATGATTATGTAAAGAATTTATCTGCGTATTATTATACATTCTACATAGTTCTCCCTGTGATAGTAAAAATAACACACTTGAACAACCTCTACGCTCATATCACAAAGCCTTATCCACTGCGCTACTGAAGCAAATTGGTAATTCTTCTGCTATAACGACATTAACAGAAAAGACTAAACTTCAAACTGCATTTCTCAAAAACGTTTAAGATTTGCACCGTTTTTGAATAGCATTTGTTACTATTCCATCAATATTATACTTTTCTAGAAGCAAAATCATGCGGTTATTTCAAGGATGAAGATTCCTCTTGTGTGAGATATTAATTATTCATTCTTTATTAATAGGAAAAGATTTTCCTTTGGTTTAAATGTTCAAGAAAAGTTATTTGTTCTCTGAGAATCTTTCAATTTTTATGTTCGTAAAAAGTTTATAAAATTCGTAAAGAAAGAAAATTATTTTACTACCTGTCTGTTCAAGAGTTGCGGATAAGAGATATTTTAACAAATCTGAATCTGAATCAGTCAATAAATTAAATTTTTCATTCAAAGAAGGTAAGCGTAAGTAAGATAAATATAAATAATAAATTAAATATTATTCTCTCGATATAATAATAAATATTTTTTCTTTAGCTAAATCATCGAAATAAATATTCTATTATAAATTGACTTTTTGGGTTACAATATCAATTTTATTTTTCAGAGTATGCTTTCAAATTGACTCTTCGGAATACGCTATTAAATTGACTTTTCGGAGTATACTTTTAAATTGACTCTCCTGAGTATACATTTTTTAGTTGATTCTGTAAAGTACACATTTTTAATTAACTCTTCGGAGAGAAGAAAAGAGAAACATTTTATATTTTATTAAAAAAATCTTACTTTTTGGAAAGAATTGATTGATGAAGAAAAAAATAAATTCACGACCTCAACGAAGATCTTAAAAATATTACTGTAAAAAATGAAGTTGTTGTTATTATATACCATTGTACAATATTAAAACATACGCGCAATAATTATCTATAATTTGCATATATAAGCGGTTAAGTAATTATAAGTAATATACAAATCATGACAAATTAATGTGGCCGTGCGTTATCTTTGTCGCGTCATTGTTAGAAATCGTCCGAACTCTCGAAATAATTTTCTTCCTGAATTATGAATATGAAGCAACGTGAAAAGAAAATCAGGGGATGAAAGGGGGGACGCCGACGTCTGTCTTACGATAAGATCGTTGCTGGCTCGCTTCAGTTTATCGTCGCGATTGTCTATTCCAGTGCCCGGAATTACTTGCACGATCGGGCCGATTTCTGAGAGCTACGCCTCCTTACTTCCCCTTACCGCTCCAGCCCGCACGGCGGACCTAGAAACTGACAGTCGCGAGGCGCTGTCTCAGGCACGTCGCATGAGACAGTCACATGAGATGCTTCACAGTTTAACATAGCTGAAACAAATTTATTTATTAAAACAACTCCATAGGCATTTTTTATAGTTTACTAATATAATATAGTCTTAATATTAATATAAATATATATTAATAGAAATATTAATATAAGTAATATTCTTAATATAACTATAATATACACTGTATATTATAGTTATATTAAGAATATTACAGTGTATACAGTGTATATTATAGTTATATTAAGAATATTACTTATATTGATATTTCTATTAACATATATTTATATTAATATTAAGACTATATTATATTAGTAAACTATAAAAAATGCCTATGGAGTTGTTTTAATAAATAAATTTGTTTCAGCTATGTTAAACTGTGAAGCGTCTCATGTGATTGTCTCATGTGACGTCCCTGAGACAGCGCCTCGCGACTGTCAGTTTCTAGGTCCGCCGTGCGGGCTGGAGCGGTAAGGGGAAGTAAGGAGGCGTAGCTCTCAGAAATCGGCCCGATCGTGCAAATAATTCCGGGCACTGGTCTATTCGTTGGTGGTGAGACAAAGATCGATTTTCCGTTTTTATCTAACTAATCTAGCTCGCTCATGAACATAGCACAGAACAGAACCAAATAATTATGGACATAGCACGGAATAGTACCAACAAATCGTGGACATTGGCTTAGTAGTTTATGTTCATGAAAAATGGACCCAGTTGGCGCTTCGAATCAGCCAACTTTTCGATAACGCTGTAAATGCAGTCATGCCCGCTCTCAGACTTCTCTCTGGCTCGGCTGAAAGCGGCCCATGACACCTCTCCTTCTTCTCTCTGGCTGTGACCCTTGTTGAGAAACTGCCTTTGTAAGGAAGTAAAGAAAAACTGTACACACTTTGCTATTACCATCGGAGTGAACGTAGTTTATATGTACTTTTTCAGAGGGCACGTCGAATAAAGCATCCGTAGGAATCCTGCTCAATGGCCGCTCTCAGGCTTCTCTCTGAGGCAAGTTGAATATTTATTTCACTTTAATATTAGAAACTACAACCTGTATATTTTAGCTGAAAAGCACAAATTTATTCAAATAATTTTGGATTAAAAAATTTATATTTCACATGAATTTATGCTAGAAGAGAAAATTCATAATTGATTCTTTCATACTTATCACGGCTGCGTTCCAATATTCACTGCCAGCACTGAAATTCTATAGTATACGTGACACAAACTATATATTTTCAGTACTGGCAGTGAATTTCGGAACGCGGCCCATGTCTCAACTACTCCATGTTTGAATCTAACCCAATCAACGACGAGACGTCAGTCGTCGGCATATTGTATTTCCCTCCAAATAGAGTTAGCTTCATTCACATCAAGCTTAAATATTTAAAAGTATCCTTCATTAACGAAGCCAAAGAAGAATTACAAGTTTTGAGGGTTGTAATGAAAACGGACGGTGTTTCTTCTTCGACGTTTCTTAGGGCGTTTTTCGATTCGATGCTGTAACATGTCGGCGATTTTGAGGTCGTCAGAACAACGTTCTGTTAACGAATGATTATGCCGATATCGTTTGAAAGTTTTGTTTATGTTTCTCACAAATATATACAACGCATGTGGATACGACTATTAATGATATTGCAGTGCCCATACGAATCATCCGCGAAATTATTGTAATTATCGCGGTTATTCCGACATTTGACGCGTTTACTCATTTATTCACCTACATATTCTATGAGACGAGCGATTTCGATACGATAGCCAGGTAATGTCGAATGAGTGTGTAATAATTTGTGATAATCGAGCGTGTTCGTTCATCATATGTTTGTCAACTGTGCAATGTTGTGTTGGACCACATCAATCGCGATTCTCGCGTGAGATGCGAAAGGATATTCATTGTACCATATCGCATCTTGTTCTGGTCGTTTATATGATCTATCAACAGGCATAATGTCTGCTACCAAGCGTAACTCAACTTCCTCCACAACTACCGCCTCGTCCTCCAAAGTCTGTTGCTTCTGTAACTTAGCAGAGGACAACGAGTTGGAATATGGCAAGTTTTATGAACAGGATGGCATCGTCACACATTATTACTGCCTGGTGAGTTTTAGATACAACTGCTGATGTTAGTTTTGTATAATATTAGATCAAAAAGTTTATTTTTGTCTTGTCTTATATCATATTATTCAAATAACACACAAACAGAAACACAGAACTTCATGAATGGATGATGTTCATATTATTGTTTACATTGATGTTAATTTATACAATATAAATATATTTTTAGCTCTTGTCTTCTAATATGGAACAAAAAGGAAATGATGATGAAGGTATACTTGGATTCCTAGCAGAAGATATACATAAGGAACTTCGCAGAGGAAAGAAATTGGTATATATATCAATAATAATAAATGTTGGTTTCTGAATATTAAAACATAAAATATATATTTATATATAGTTTATAAGTTTTTGTATAATTATATCAAAAGCATATTAGCAAAAATCTATTAAGTTAACTTATTAGAAATTTAGTATTGAGTTTACTCGCTATGAATGTTTTTTTCATTTTTATTAAACTTAATAAGTTTTCATCATTTTTAATAAATAAAATTTCTCTCACTATTAACAGTTGAATTGTTAACAGTTAAATTGTTTATTTTAGATTTGTTCATACTGCAAAAGAATTGGTGCAACTTTAGGTTGTTGCAATTTAAAGTGTAAACGCATATTTCACTTTCCTTGTGGCTTAAAAGCTGGTTCTTTACATCAGTTTTTTGGAGAATTTAAGTAAGGAACAATATTGGAATATTACATCAGTGTCATAGTTATAGAAACTGGATAATAAATAATTGATATTAATGAATTGATTTTGATAATGTTCTAGATCATTTTGTGTAAATCATAGACCGAAACAAAAAATTGATGAGTATGTATTGAAGCAAATTAGTACATTAAATGATATATTATGTTATATATGTTATGATAGAGCAAACCCCAAAGATCTTATGGAAACTTTGTGGGCTCCCTGTTGTAAAAAAGATGCATGGTTTCACCGTAAATGTGTTCAGGTTAGTCTTGATAAAAAGTTTATGTATGAAACTTATTGATCGCAGCTGTTACACTTCAATTTCAGTGTAAATTATTAATATCACAACATGTATTTTGCTGAATGTTATGTTTATAACGTGCATGTATAATATATATAATTTTTCATTTCAGCAACTTGCTTTAAGTGCAGGCTATTTCTTTAAATGTCCTCTATGTAACAATAAGAAAGATTTTCAAAATGCTATGCTACAACACGGCATTTTCATACCGAGCCAGTAAGTATTTGATTAAAGCTTCAAGAAGAATATTTTTTATTTGTACAATGTCCTTTTAAATTGTGTATACATCTTATTTTAAATATGTATATTCTAAAGTTGTTTTTCTGATGTTTAATAAGGGATGCCTCATGGGAATTGGTGCCAAATGCATTCGAAGAATTATTGTATAGACACGATCAGTGTGACGCTATAATATGTCTTTGTCCAAAGGGAAGGAAACATACAAGTAGTAACGCGTAAGTAATGATTGTATGAAACAATGTTGAACCTATATGGCGTCTAGTATGTATATATGTAGATCATTCTTATAAAATATTTTTATAATGATAAATATTACAGTAAATGGGAATTGGTGTTATGTCGGATTTGCGGCTCACAGGGCATTCATATGGCTTGCGGGAAATTGAAATGGGCAAATCCCATATGGGAATGCGCCGAATGTACTTCCATATTATGTAAGCACCTGTTTGATTTGTAAGAATATATAGAGCAAACATAATGTATAATCTTAATTATATTTTAATTACTTTTTATTTTTCACATTTTTTTCTGAAGTAAAAAGTAATTGTAATAATTGAGATCATATGTTTAAAATGATTTATTTCACATACGCACGCGTACACACACACACAAAATATAACTATGAAATACAATAAATATATTGTAATCTTTATGTAAAAAACGAAATATTTTATTTTTCTATTCTATAAAGGTAATCCTACAGATCATGAAAATACAAGGTCTGGTGATAGCTCTGATAGGTATGCTCTATATTTACTACTTTTAATTGTGCAAATAATGAAAAGATTTCGACAAAGAGTGTCTTGAACCTATGATTGCACTTGTTCTCATACAACGACTAATATCAAACTGATTTCGAATATTTCTTTAGTTCTAGTTTGAGCAGAGATTCCGATACAGAGGAGAGTGATTCTGACATTTCTGTGGGCACTGATTTCCCTGTATTGTGTTCGTTACCTAGTCCTAGTTCATCTTCCACCATGATAAATTCAAGCTTTAAATCACGGCCAGGGCCACGTTCGTTTAAGTTACAACAGCAATTGAAAGCAAGTAGTGGTATGCTTGATTCGTTGATGGATATGTCATGGTGAGTTTTCTGATTACACTAAGTGCCACAATGGAATATTTTACGTTTTATTTTATATAGTGCATCAGCACCTATAAGCACTGCTGCTACGAAGAGTACAACGTCAACTGATAAAGTTAGTAAGGAAAATAATGTGCAAAAAAACAAGGTGAACGATTCTCTGCAAACTAAGAAAGATCATTGCGAACGAAAGAAAAATTTTTCTAGCAACATTATGAAATCTCAACCTGATTCAAATAAGAATATTATCATCACAATCGAAAGCGACGACGACGATGATGTAGAGGTAAATGATAAAGTAATTCGTAGTAATATATTTGCATCACAGTTTGCACATTTTTTTCGATGAAGTTCGGAATGCAGTTAATGTCAAAAATAGGAAAATGTGTTTCTCTGAAGAGTTCTTTTGTTAGACATTAGCTATATTTGGAGTTGCATTAGAATAAAGCATGTGCAAACCGTTGTATATACCAGTGTACACAACGTCTATATTAGCTTTAGAAGTGTCTAATTGTCTAACAAAGACAATCTGTAAATAAACGATAATCGCGTATATAATCGCGTAAATAAATCGCGTATACCATTGATATCTGATATTGATTATTTTTATTTGTTGCAGATTATCGCATTGCAACGCAAAATAAGTATCCCGACGGTACAGATTGCATGGGCAAACATGTTTTCTTCGTCAAAACCTGATAATTCAAACAACTTGACAGAAAATTCCACGACCAAGAGTATAAGTGAAGTCGATCCGTTAAAAACGGAGGATACCGTTCAGTCTAATGCGAAGGAAGTATCGAAGAAATGTGATAGTATTAAAGAATCTAATGTATCGATCTCGAAAAGCAAAATTACTATTTCGAAGCAACCTGACGTGCCTGCAATGTTAAAACCTACACAAGTTGCTATTTCTTCAAAGAACGATGACTTAAAAATCTCTCCAGTGAACTCCAGCTCTGTTATGAATATTAAAATTACTAACGTCACTTCCGTACCACCGGAGATATTTGCAAGCGTGCCTGACGTGGGTCTTGACAAAGACGTCACGTGGTTGCAGTCTGACACTGTCGGTATGTCTTCTGTCGTAGATAAGTTGGGCAAACCGTTAGACAAGTGGTTTGCTGTTCAGCAATCTTCACCTACTACGATGAAGCGCAGTATGCACGAGGAAGGTAATTCGCTGAGAAGATTTGATGTTATAGGTCTGTTCTTTTTAGTTGCTTTGTATTGCACTTTTAAAACGAGACAAATAAATATTAATAATTAAAAATAAGTGGAAAGAGATGAAAAAGAAGAGGAAAAAGAGAAACAGAGAAATTGAAATATATAAAGAAATATAAAGAAGTCTGAAGATAATATAAAGAAGATAACATAAAGAAGAGAATATAAAGAATATAAAGAAATATAAAGAAATACAAAAAGAAATATAAAGTCTGTTCTTTTTAGTCGAACAAAATTGCGTTTTTTGCTTTTAAAGTAAAACAGCTATATAAGCGTTGAAAAGAAAAGAAACAAAGTTCCAACATGGCACCTAAAGCAGCAGCTAAAAAGAATAAGCTTATATACAGGGTGTTTCATTTTAAGTGATATGATCGATTATCTCGTGAATCGATGATTTTATTGAAAAATTTTTCGAACGAAAGTTGCATGGCTTGAAGGGGGACACATGATGGAAATATGGACTTGACCTTGAATGACCTTGTCAAAACCAGGTCAAGGTCATTAATGTTTTTTTTTTTTATGGAAACCCCTATATTTTATGACATATTCTTGTAGCTTATCTCGAGCTTTCTTTCGAGAGCTTTCCAAAATACTATAGTAAAGTTACGTTTCATTGAGTACTTTCCGAGTTATGAGATTTGAAAGTTAAGGCAAGACCGATCACTGATACGGCCAACTGAGGCAAGACTCATCAACGGCTAAAGACATGTTCGAATTGATCTTACCTTAGTTGGCCGGATCAGTGATCGGTCTTGCCTTAACTTTCAAGCCTCATAACTTGAAAAGTACTCAATGAAACGTAACTTTATTATAGTGTTTTGGAAAGCTCTCGAGATAAGCTACAAGAATATGTAATAAAAAATAGGGATTTAAAAAAATATTAATGAGTTTTTGCAGGAAAATTAAGTTCGGGTCCTACCTCATCCTACTCAATCTTTAGACTTGGTTCCCTGCGACTTCACATTGTTTCCAAAAGTAAAGAGAAAGCTTCGGAAACATCCAAAAGTAAAGAGAAAGCTTCGGAAACATCGATTTGAAACATCAAAACAAACGTTTGTAGCTTATAATGAGGAAGTATCGATGGCAAAATAAGAATGGAACAAAATTACTGGTTTTTGAGAATGCATAAATGTATTGATGCTCAGGGAGAGTACTTTGAAAAATTATAATGTATTTTGACCTGATTTTGACAAGGTCACTCAAGGTCAAGTCCACATTTCCATCATGTATCCCCCTTCAAGCTATGCAACTTTCGTTCGAAAAATTTTTCAATAAGATCATCGATTCGCGAGATAATCGAACATATCACTTAAAATAAAACACCCTATATAGTTAAGAGAAATATAAACTTGTCAACATGCGTGTACACACACGAGTGACAATTTTGTACAAGAAAATAAATATTTTAAGGATTGGTTGATATATCAAATTAAAAATAGAGTTAATAAAATAAAAAAATTTTCTTTTTCGGTTATCGAGATATTTAATATGTATAACTTTAATAGTAATATAGTTCAGACGTCTGACCCTTTTTTGGATTTTTATCAAAAAAAGGAAATTTTAAATATAATACATTTAACAATAATGTTACATTTTGTTAGCAAGCAGTGTTGTGGATAGCAGTTGCAAGAGAATTAGAGGAGAAAATTCGGACAAAACGTTCAGGAATACTGTTCTGTGTGATACCAGGTGGGAGCAAAGTCAAAGGACCGAATTTAAAGTCGCACCTAGTACAGAGATTCGTGAAATTACCGAAAACACTGCTAAGCGTTTAGCATCCTCGAGTACAATTTCTAGTCCGTCCTTGAATATCGATCAAAAGAATGATATATCTATGCAAGCTGGCACGTGCACGCCGGACGCGACATATGCAGCAATTGAATCCAATCATCATACAAAGAAAAGCGATAGTGTCCCGAAGATCGCCATGCAACATGCTGAGAACGGGCCCGTCAAGTTATATACGCCAGTCATTCAGTCCGGCACACAGATTTACTATTCGGTTCCGTCGTCGAGCATATTCTATACTCAATCGATATCGAGTCGTATGAGTCGAGAAACCGAAAGTACCACCACCACATCGTATGCTATGACGTCGAACGATGTCGTACGACCGCCAGTTATACATAACACCGCTACTATTAGCAATCGTCAGTCTGTAGTTATTCGGCCGATAAACATAGATACAGTTAACACGAACAACAGTCAACAAACTAAAGGATCATGTAATCAGCAAGCTGGACTTCCGAAAGAGAAAACAACCGATAATCTTCCTGCAAGCAACGGCACCTCGAGCAAAATAGTAGTAAGTAATTTATTCAAATATCTTAAAAATGTCAAATTGTATTTTGTAAGAGCATAATAAGGTTTCGAATATGTAAGGATGTAATAAAACTTCTGTTGTTGCCTAAGATAATGAAGTCCGTTTTTTTTTTTCTCCTGTTAGTTTCCTTAGAAAGCGCAGATAGTATGATAACTTCAATAGAGATATCTCTGATGAGAGCTTGTAAATAATTTTGTGATCAATTCTTTTTTTATGATAAAATATTTCTTCATAAGCAGTGAGATTTTTTCTCTTTTCATCCTTATCTCCACAAAACTCGGTTAAATATTTGATAAAGTAGTAGGAATAAAATATTCTGGCGAGAAAGACGGTGCGGGGAGTATGTGTGGTAACAAAAATTTCCCCGTACCTCCTCTCCAGTGAATGTCTTGCGATTCTAACAGTGTGACGGGGATGCAGGCAGGACCAATCCTGCTGTTACGCCAACCAGATGTGCCTGTTTCTCTGAGACCGCAAAGACTGCCGGAGCAGCAGACACGCTCGATACATCAAAAATCATTGGAACAAAAGCCAACCAAAGAAGAAACTCACCGGGATTCGCAGGAATCAGAAAAAACTTCAAAAGATCCTCTGATGAGAGGTGAGTTTAATAAATATACAGTGGTATAAATCCTTCAAATAGTGCTTTACTAGTTTTCTATTCAATCTTTACATTAATAGTTATTTGAAATTTGTCTCAAGTAGAAAACTCAAATTCGCATTCAAATTTAGATGTAAGAGTTTTAGTTGAATCGCGAAATATAATGCAAATATATTGTATATAATTTAACTAGAAAAAATTTATATTAAACTCTAAATTTTCAAATTTGAGTACCTTATATGAAAAAGTTTTAGATAATAACTATTAATACAAACCTAAGATGTACATATTGTATTCTTAGATCAGTCGTGATCAAAGTGCGGTTCATCTATAAACAATTTGTATTTTTCATATATTCTCTCATTGACTATTATTTTTTTCCCTTTTTGCGAATCGATTTACAACTGGACACAATTGTCGGGGTAAGTAGAAATAAGTATTCGATCTTCAGAGAAAAAATGGATATGTGCCCTTCCTCCCTCGCGGATGTTTTCATACGCTCTGGGAGAATAATTTCCATAAGCAGAATAATAATTATTACGAAGTAGCGATAATTATTTACATACAAATACATAGAAAGTATTAAAGTAGAAAAGTATTACTCTTTCTAAAAGTAACTCATTATTGCTCATTATTTTTTGAAAATATAATTTGTTAATGTTACTGTTATCTTTATTCCAAAACTAACGAATTATTACTATTTTCGTTATTCTTCAATGCAAATAAAATGAAATTTTATTCGTAAAACAAAGTAATAAATGAGTCACATGAATTTGAGAGAATTTTTAATCATACTTTCACAATCTGAATCATCAAGTGTGAATATTTTTACTCAAAGTTGAAGAGAGAATCTAATATATTCCACCTTTACATAAGGCACAAATTCATTAATCGATTATTTTGTAAAATATTTTTCAACCTTGCATACAAATAAACAATATGTATTATGCCATTCAATATCATGATTGAAAGATGTATATGAACATGAACAGTGAACTTTCCAATACATATTAATATTTTAATATATTTTTTTGTGCAGCGATACCATGCATATCATGTCCATTATTTCATGCATTCGAAGTGTCAGAACCCAGTGCAGTGCCTTCCCCCAAGTCACAAATAACCATAACACCTGTCATCAGCCTCGATTGATACCGCAGTATATGCGTCTACATGATCTTAAGTTTCGCATTTGCGGAACGGATGATATTCAGGTAAGATATAATTACGACCAGTTATTATTTTACTTACTATTACTTACTATTTTATTCTACTTACTGCTACTACGTTTACATGATAACAAAACCGTTTCGATAATATTCGTAACCTACTTTTAGATGAACAGTAATAAAATCGATTTGACAATTCCCATTGTTATAATTAGTATTACACGATTGTGTTATTAATTATAATTTTCATAGCTGTAAATATTCATAGTTATTAATAATCATCATAGTTATTAACGAGTATAGTTCTGACTAGTTAGTTAGTCATAACGAAGTTTAATTCTATATTACGATTAATTGCAGATACGAGGATCATATCGAAAGTTTTTAAATATTATTAAACAAATGAATTTATTTCAACAATATATATTATAATTTTTCAAAGTACTCTCCCTGAGCATCAATACATTTATGCATTCTCAAAAACCAGTAATTTTGTTCCATTCTTATTTTGCCATCGATACTTCCTCATTATAAGCTACAAACGTTTGTTTTGATGTTTCAAATCGATGTTTCCGAAGCTTTCTCTTTACTTTTGGAAACAATGTGAAGTCGCAGGGAGCCAAGTCTAAAGATTGGGTAGGATGAGGTAGGACCCGAACTTAATTTTCCTGCAAAAACTCCAAAGTTCCTGTCGTTGTGCGAAGCCATACATTGTCGTGATGGAGGATGAAATGATAGAGTGTTGACCTTGAATGTCCACACCTCAAAGTTCTTCGAAGGCAATGCGAGCATACTACTCTGCTGTCATAATGCGTTGGTCTTCTAATGGAACAGTCGTTATATGGCCTGCGAAGAAACATGCGATCACATAATCTTCCCTACGTTGTTCCCTATTTATTGCACTTTTGATGATGGAGACTCATTCCGAAAATACCATATTGTCAATTGCTGCTTTATCTTCTAGATCATAGTTATATAACCAGATTTCATCCCTATGATGATATTAAAAACGTCTTTTGTCTTTCTCTAAACCTTAAGGCATACAACAATACTAATCGACCGCTCCTCCTTTTGCTCAAACGTAAGCAGATGGGCACTCAACAACTGCAACACTGTGAGATGCAGGTGATCCTTAATTATCGTCTGCGTTGCGGTTAATCCGATCAAGGTCGCCTCTATTTTACCATAGGTGATATGCTGGTTTTCTTTCACTAGGTTTTTAACAGCAGCAATATTTTAGTCCGTTACTATGTGAGGACGCCCAAAGCGTCGCTCATTTTTAAACTTTGCCTTCCACGTTTAAATTCGGCAAACCAAGTGAACACTGTAGCACATAATAGAGCAGAGTCTTCAAAACACTTCACCAAACGTTTATGACATTAATTTCGATTTAAATCAAATTTAAAATTATAAAAAATAATGGTACAAAAGTTGCGTCTTTCGAACTCCATCGCGGTCAGACCCAACTATCTGACACTCTTCAACTTCCCTTTTCTAAACTAATAGATCTAAGTTTTTCATGCTAATTTATTATTCAGCAAAGAAGATACTCTTTTTTCCAAACTGAGTTTTATTGTCATAGGGCTTCTTGATTTTGCATTGATCTAAATTTAGCATGGCCCCCGTATAAATATTTATTTAAATAAATAAATATATATATATATATACACAGAGTGTCTCTAAAGTCTGATCCCTAGATCTCGGAAACGGCTTTAAATATGGAAAAATGATTCAGACAAAAGTTGTAGGATATTAACAGGGAACAGATGATAAAAATATGGACTTGAATGACTTTATCAAGGCCAGATCGATGTGATCGATGTTTTCTTAAATGTAATTTAAGAAAACCCATTTCTTATTCCCCCATTTTTTATTGTATATTCTTGCAGCTCTCATCGAGACATTTTCAAAACACTACCTACTTGTATCTTTTGCGCAAGCCATTCCGAAGATATGAAGCTTCAACGTTGACCGCCGGCATTCGCATTACCCGATGTAAACCGCGAGGAGGTTGCTTGGTCGAATTTGTACATCATAGTGGCCCTAAAAAGGGCCGATTTTATGTGTATTTCTTCAGTTAAAATTTTTTTTCCATCATTCTTCTCTTTTCCTTTACATTAGTTTTTTTCTTGCCATTACTGCAGAAGATGCTTAAAATGAGTACCATTGACTTCCATGCGGTGAGACAAGCAATCGTGAAACTCTCCTTACATTCTGAAGTGTCTGAGGAGGAATATCTCTACAAGCTACAACTATCCTATTTCGCAATTCTTCGATTCTAGCTGGAAGCTAGAAGTTCTGAAAACTGCCGATTTTAAATAACCCCACAAGAAGAAATCGTTGAGGGCTAAATCAGGAGACTGTGGGGACTATTCAATCGGGTACCTCCTCCCAATCCACCTGTTCGGATCATTTTCGTCCAAATAATTGCGCATGTCACGATGGTAGTGTGCAGGATATCCATCCTGTTGAAAATGAATGGCTATCTTCACCAACAGCGTTCTCAATAACTTGAGTTATCAAAGGATTAATGATATCTCGCAGCAATGTTAAATAAAATTCGCCTGTTAAATTTTCATCGATGAACAAAGGTCCAATTATGTAGTTATCTAAAATGGCCCAAACATTTAACTTCTGTGGCTGTTGCGTATGTCCCTCTCTGTAAATGTATGGGTTGAAGTTAGACCAATACCTAACATTGTGCTCATTTATCTCATCGCGTAAATAAAAAGTACTTTCGTCACTAAAGCAAAGATTTTTCAAATAATGTGCATTCTCTTCAATGAGCGTGATTATTATTATTTCACAAAACTGAACACGGCGATCAAAGTCACCATCTCCAAGCTCATGTTTTATTTGCATTTTGTAAAGGTGAAATCTATGATTTTTCAGAATTTTATCGATTATGCTGCGCGGGATGTTACTTGCATTATGTAATTCGGCTAAAGACTGTTGGGAGTTGTCTATAACACAACCAATAATTTCAATAACTATATTCTCGCCGACTTTAGGTTTGCCGCTACGTAGCCGGTCTTTAACATTCTCAATTCCGCGAAATTTGGTTATCAAGTTGGAGACGTATTTATGGTCAATAGAACGATCAAGAAAGAGCTCATTAAAACGGTTCGTAGTTGCGCGATAAGAGCGACTACATTTCCCGTAAAAAGAAATCATTTCCACCTTATCCTTCTTAGATCGCGACATAATTTAAAACTTAATTTATTTAGAAAAATTTAATTTATTTCAGAAAAGTGACAAAGGAAGGTGGAACAATACGAAAATCAGAAAGAAATGGGCGAGTAACTGTCACTCTTTCGAACATTACCGCCCATTATAACAAAAAAAATAGAAGGCCTTTTTTTATGAAAACACCTTTTCCAGCAACAGGTTTTTCAAAAACTGGGGGAAAATTATAATGTTTCTTCATTCGAATTGAAGATAGTTTCTTCTGAATGCAATCAATTAATGTAGGTAATGCGTTTCTGACCACTTTATACATTTAAACGGTAATGAGCAGTAATAAGCAATAATGGATGGTAGTTTAACATTGCTGCGAGATGTTATTGATTCTTTGATAACCCAAGTTGTAGATAACGTTGTTGGTGAGGATGGTTAATTAGAATTCGATGTAGATAACATTCATTTTCAACAGGATGGATGTTCTGCATACCATCGTGACGTGCGCAACAATTTCGAAATCAAGCTTATAAGCGAATATAACGAAAATTATCCGAACAGATGGATTGGGAGGAGGGGCCCGATTAAGTCTCCACGGTCTCCCGATTTAGCCCTTACCGATTTCTTCTTGTGGGATTATTTAAAATTGGTAGTTTTCAGAACGCTTCCAGGTACAATCGAGAAATTGCAAAATAAGATAGTTATAGCTTGTAGAGATATTCCTCCTCAGACATTTCAGAATGTAAGGAGAGAGTTCCACGATCGCTTGTTTCACTGCATGGAAGTCAATGATTCTCATTTTGAGCATCTTCTGTAGTAACGGTAAGAAAATAACTAATGTAAGGGGAAGGAGAAGAAGAATGATGGAGAGAGAGAATTTTAACTGAAGAAACACAAAATCAGCCCTTTTTAAGGCCACTATGGTGTACAAATCCGATCAAGCAACCTCTCCGCAGTATACATCGGGTAATGTGAATACCGGCAGTATGTCAACTTTGGAGCTTTATACCTTCGGAATAGCTGGCATAAAAGACACAAGTAGGTAGTGTTTTCAAAATGTCTCGACGAGAGCTGCAAGAATATGCAATAAAAATGGGGGATTCCATTTAAGAAAACATTGATAACATTGACCAGGTCTTGATAAAGTCGCTCAAAGTCAAGTCCATATTTTCATCATATTTCTCCCTTAACCCATTAACACCCAAAAGTTCTAAAATATTAGCCTTGCAACTGTATTTTATGTAGAAAAACATTTTATATAAGGTTGGAATAGCATTTCCTTATGTTTTCGGGGTCATTCTACAAGATTTCGGCATCGGAATTCGTTTAGATTCACAATAAAATCCAATATGGAATTTTTGGAAAAAAGTCGTGAAAAATCGACAATTTTATTTCTTATAAGCTTGATTTCGTACCAAGAACGTTACTCGTTACTTTGATACAGATACAAATGTCACATCTTGTCTCAAAAATGTTGAACTTTCAAGGTATGCTTTGGTGAAAATGTGAATTCAAGATGGCTGCCTCAAAATGGCGGTTTGAGCGAAAAAACTTAAAAAATAATATATTTTTAGAATAACTTCGCAAAATCCTAGTATTTAGCATCAATTTAGTATCCAGGGTACTGATTTTAGAATATTTGCTGACAACTAATTCATATAATTTCAAAATGGCGGATCCAAGATGGCGACTAAAAAGCACGAATAATCGTGAAAATTTCCAGATTTTCATGAATTTTTTTCTATTATTTTCATATTCATGAATTATTTTTGAGACGTACACACGCACATATACAGGATGGGTAATTATAAACTTACAAACTTTATAAAAAACATAAAGAACATCGAGATAAGTACAACGGACGGGAAAAAATTGGAATCGACTATGTAAAGTTTTGAGAAAAATTATTAAATAAATGATCGCGGGCTTGCTACTCCACACAGCTTGGACCGGATTGACAGGCAACAACGGCGCGCGTCGGTCCGCTGTTGTTGCCTGCCAATCCAGCCCAAGCCGTGCGAAACAGCATGCGATGCCCACAACGCATGCCCACTGAGCGTTTATTCGCTCATTCATTTAGCAATTTTTCTCAAAACTTTACGTAGTGGATTTCAATTTTTTCCCGTCCGTAGTACTTATCTTGATGTTTTTTTATGTTTTTTATAAAGTTTATAAGTTTATAATTACCCACCCTATATATGTGCGTGTGTACATCTCGAAAATAATTCATGAATATAAAAATAATAAAAGAAAATTCATGAAAATCTGGAAATTTTCACGATTATTCGTGCTTTTTAGTCGCCATCTTGGATCCGCCATTTTGAAATTCTCTAATATGAATTAGTTGTCAGCAAATATTAAAAAATCAGTACCCTGGATACTAAATTGATGCTAAATACTAGGACTTTGCGAAGTTATTCTAGAAATACATTATTTTTTAAGTTTTTTCGCTCAAACCGCCATTTTGAGGCAGCCATCTTGAATTCACATTTTCACCAAAGCATACCTTGAAAGTTCAACATTTTTGAGACAAGATGTGACATTTGTATCTATATCAAAGTAACGAGTAACGTTCTTGATACGAAATCAAGCTTATAAGAAATAAAATTGTCGATTTTTCACGACTTTTTTCCAAAAATTCCATATTGGATTTTATTGTGAATCTGAACGAATTCCGATGCCAGAATCTTGTAGAATGACCCCGAAAACATAAGGAAATGCTATTCCAACCTTATATAATATGTTACTCTACATAAAATACAGTTGCTAAGTAAGGCTATTATTTTAGGGCTTTTGAGCGTTAACGGGTTAATATCCTACAACTTTTTTCTGAAACATTTTTTCTATATTTAAAGCCGTTTCTGAGATCCAAGGGTTGAACGATAGAGATACCCTATATACCCAGTGTCTCGTAACTAATGTTGCAGAGCTCGTGGAGACAGTGCGAATTAAGACAAACATAAAAGTCCTATACCATTTTGTGATATTCGCAATAATTATTGAATTATTAATGGCAAAAATCTGACGAGTGAGCGCGCGTCAAAATGGATGATTGGAGAAGCGTCGTAACTTCTCGGCCCAATCAACCCAGCAACTGTTGACGGCATGCGGCGAGACGCGTAGGTGCGATGAAATAATAACGGCACGTTGTCTGTCCCCTCGCCGCACATCGCCAACAGTTACTAGATCGACTGGACTGCACTCTTATCGAAATGGTTGCACGCTTCTCCAATCACCTATCGACGCGCTTCCATTCCTCAGATTTCTGTCATTAATAACTCGATAATTATTGCAAATTTCGCAGTATGGGACTTTTATGTTTGTCTTAATTCGCTCTATGTCTCCACGAGTTCTGCAACATTAGTTATGAGACATTCTATATTTACTTATATGAGGTATCCAGTAATTAGCTGTCAACCCAAAATGTGAAGGTAGATTAAGTTAAGCTGAAAAGAAAAGTAAAATACAATTTCGCAAGAATCGCAATAATTATCGAGTTATTAATGACAGAAATCTGAGGAGTGGGGACGCGCCGACATAGATGATTGGAGAAGAGTTGCAGCTGCTCAGGCTACAGCGCCGCCCAGTCGATGCAGAAACTGTTGCCGGTGCACGGCGACGGGAAGGACAACGCGCCATTATTCGTTGTTTTATCTCGCTGCACACCTCCAACAGTTGCTGGGCCGCGCTGTAACCCGAGAGGCTGCGACGCTTCTCCAATCATCTATGTCGGCGTGCTCCCACTCCTCAGATTTCTTTCATTAATAACTCGATAATTATTGCGAATTTCGCAAAACGGTATGGGACTTTTATGTTTATCTTAACCTGATCTACTTTCACACTTCGGGTTGGCAGCTAATTACCGGACACTCTGTATTATATGCTATCCAGTAAACACAAAGTATCATCGTTGTTACAATGTCAGCTAAATCATAGTATGTTACATAACAGTTGCTTTGTTATATTACAAAGTAACAGTTACGTAACATACCATATGATTCAGTTGACATTATAACATCGATGATACTTTGTTTTTATTGGGTATGTACTAGGTTATAATAACAAGAATTGTCAAAGCGATTTTATGCTAATCATATAAACGTAGAATATGATATTACTAAACTAGTTTTACGCTACTGCGTATATATAATATATAATAATCATAATAATAATCATTGACCTGTCGAAGAATTCGGCAATTTCAGTTCCATGATTGAAACATTATAATTATGATGTTGATGAATTGTTTATATTTTTTGCAGATGACCTTGTACGACACATTTTCTGTAAATATTTCCGTAGAAAATCCCGCTACGTACAACAAAATCAAACCAAGCATAGCTATGCAGGAGTTGGGAGAACGGCCATTCAGCTCTCAGACACAATACGAAGCTTTGTCCAGTCCAGATCATGTCAACAATGATATATTCGCGAATTGTTTAATCGAGGATAGGACTGAGTATACAGCCGATGCAATGGCGGTCGTTATACATGACGACGCGAAGGAGAACTTGGACCCGGTATCGAGAACGGCTCCTAATACAGTCACCTCGAGTAACATAAATCTAATAAATGCTAATGGTGTTGATGCGACGAACGACACGTGGCAGAATAGTAGCGAACATGATGCACAGACGTGTCTCATTCGGAGCAATATTAACTCAAATGCGTTAGATCGAGCGATATGTAACACTATTATAGATAATAATACAGAAAAGGATAACGATCGCAGTCAAAACTCGCGAGTTGAAAATCGGGAAGGTGTGCAACGTAAACAGTTTGTATGTAACCCGTCTACGCCTGTTGCGGAGAGCAGTTGGTTATCTCATAGGCGTACAATATACAGCATCAACTCTGATCTGAATATTGTTCGTACGAATAAAAATGTTGAGAAAATACTACAAAATAATGTCACTGTCATGACAAACCGGCATTCCGATGACTCGCGCACGACAGACAACTCTCCGACGTCACACTTACACAATTTTTCGTATGTGCGCACGAACCGTAGGAAAAGCAAGAGCCAACATTCAGACCAAACGGACGTTGCGAAATTGCAGACCCAAGATCAGAATGTACCAAATATCATATTCAATGAGCACAGCATCTCAAATAGGCAAATCGGTGCATGTAATTCTAGTCAATTGATTCACTGTATGGCATCGTGTGATGACGAGAACAATTATGATTACGACGATTCCAACGTTAGAGTTAGCATAGATTTACACAAGATACAAAATTTGATTGATTCTAAGCCAGAATTGTTTTTGAGCGACGAGGAGGATAATGACAGTGAAAGCAACAGGCGTCGTCGTAGATGCATAAGCCGGCTGCGTGGTGCAAATGATTATACTCAGCTGCAGGCGAAATTTCACGACACCGAGAATAATGATAACGTGAGACACTCCTCGTTGAGAAATGACGATTTACAGAAGCTTAGTCAGACTAGCGTCATCGAGGCGCGAGGTACTCTTTATTCAAACGCAAATATTTTCAATCGGTTTCGGAAACGAGAACGCGAAACTAGATATTTTGATAAGCGTAACAGGTAGCACGAGGAATGCATATTACATAAAAGACATAATCGGTGAGATAGAGAATAATGAGCGAGGCTTACTAAATGACACGATTTTCATGCAACATTCGTTAAGATAAGGTATAACAGTGCAGGATGTTTCGATATAATGAATAATTAATTTTAAAACTATTATTTTCTGCTGACTGCTATCTTCAAATTGTAACATAGTTGTTAAATCGTTGTATGAACACATTCTTTTTATATGTTACAGTAAAGTCGTTTTCTGTATTATATCGATGTAATAAAAAGATGATTTTACTTAGATAAACATTCTTATCTGCAATTCTTTATAATACGAAATCAAACTTAGTTATGACTCAATTAAAGCTTAAATAAAATAAGCTATTTTACTTAATGCGTCTATTATTTCTTGCAATTCCTCTATATGATTTGTTTAAATTTATAGAAATTTCTAACTATAGATTAAGTTATACATAGGAATTATGAATTAATTTGTACATTTGTAAAATTTATAATTATATAACAGAAACAAAGCTAATGTTTTATTATTAAATATCATCTCTATTTCATTGAATTAATTAAGAATTTAAAATAAACATGAAAGTGTAATTAAAAGTTGGAAAAAGTAAATTATATAATTTTTTATTATAAAATATGTTACATATATTATACTGCTGGATCATCTCCTTTAGTACGTGTGTAAATAAGTTGAGCATGATGTTGCACAATTTGCTTAATCAGACTTTTGTTGAAGTTTCATCAAAGCTTTTCTAGCAAGTGACCCTCTGATCTTTAATCTTCCACTGACAATAGAGGGTGTAATTAATTTATATTGAGGTACCTCTTTCAACAACTTCTCATATGTGGATTTACAAAAATCCAAAAATCTTGATTATTTAATTTATCACGTACTTTTCTTTTGGACCACTTCTACAAGTATAAAGAAAAAAGACAATGTTATATTAAAAATAATTCTAATGTAAGTAATATATTAAAGAAAATATATAATATAAATATTATCAGACTCATTAAATCAATTTTTGCCTCCATATTTGGTCAAGTTGTTAAGTCATATGTCAGTTAAGATCTATCTCATCTAATAATCTAGTATAATTATCATGATTATAATAATGAAATAACAAACTTTCTTCTTAGCTTTACCAGCAGATCCACCCTTTCTTCTTCTTCTGGATTTTCTGCTTAGGCTGGTTGCTTAGAAGAACTTTTTGTATCTTTTTTAGGTGGCTATAATGATTAATCAAATGGAAAATAATTTTTAATAAAATAACTTACAAGGGAACAGTCGGAGGTATCCCTCACCGATTTGGATGGGCTTTGGATATGTTATAAAGCATAAAAAAGAATATATATAATAATTTATTGATTCCCCTTAGGGTTACAACTCTCTTATAATTCTCTTACGAACTATCTTAACCTACTTACTCTATCCTATCCTATCCTATCCTTCCTCCCTACCTATACACACACACACTACACTTCTCCCTCTCCTATCCTGGACTTCCATTCCCGTTTACAATTTACCTTCCCTAATCTCATTTTCCTCGTACTCATCCTTCCACTCATTCTTCCCCTCCCCCTTACCCCATCCAGCTTCCTTAACTATTTTTTCCTCTCCCCCTCCTCCCCTAAAACCTCCCCCGCCATCTCCTGCCACGTCCTTTCTTCCCTCCACTCTGCACATTCCCACACGTGCTCCCATACTTCATTTTCTACCCCACATATTCTACATTTCCTTCCTTCTTCCCTCTCTCAGTATTTGCCTTCTTTCATTCCATTTCCCAATCTATATTTTGCAACTCTTTGTCACCTACTTTCTCCCCAGCCTTTCTTTAAATATCCTGGCACCCCCGCCCTCTTTATCCATCTGTACCATCTATTATATCTTGACTCCTTAATTTTATTCCACCTTTCTTCCCTTTGTTGCTTCCTCTCCTCCACTATTTGTTCCCCTCTCATTTCCCCCCTCTCTCTTAATTGCTCTACCTTCTCTATCCTCCACCCTTTTGCCTCTATGTACTCCTTCCTCTCTTCGTCCCATCCCTTCCTTGCCCTTCCTTTCTTCACTCCTTCCCTCATTTCTTCCCAACACCTCCTTGCTAGCTCCCCTCCCCTCCCCTCCTTCAATTTCCTTTCATATTCCCATGCCCTCATTCCTGCCTTTCCACTTATTTTCTCTCTCTGCATCTCTCTGACTATATACCCTGGCGTGCACCTTTCCACTCCTAACACCCATCTTAAATATCTCTCATGAACCCTTTCCATTCCCTCTCTCTCTTTCCATCCCCAAATTTTTATCCCATAACTCATCACCGTCCATCAGCCTATCGAACAACCATATTCTTCTTCCCCAGTCCCCTCCAAATCTCCTCTTTCCTATTCCCCACACTTGTCCCAGCAGTATTGCCCCTCTTTTCATTCTCTCCCTCACCTGTGTCTACTGTGATCCATTATTCTTTATTGTATATCTCAAATACTTAAACTCCCTTACCTCCTCTATTTTCTTTCCCTTCCACCTCCAGCTCACCTTTCTCCATCTCCCTCCCCCCTTCCTACACCTCATCACCTTCGTTTTATCCACGTTTACTTCTAATTCCTTTCCATCCAAATATCCTTGCCATCATTCCCTTTAATCCCTCCAAAGCGGAGCTAGATTCTACTCTGTGAGAGTCTGCTCCTTCGTTTACAACAGTAAAATATTGGGTGGCAGAGTTTAAACGAGGCCGTACGAGCTGTCAAGACGAACATCGCAGTGGTCGACCAAATGAGGTGACCACGCCAGAAATGGTGAAGAAAATCCACAAAATGTATTGGATGACCGTTGACTGAAAGTGCGCGAGTTAGCAGATATGGTAGGCATTTCAAAAAGTGCTGTACATCGTATATTGACTGAAAATTTGGACATGAGACAACTGTGCGCAAGATGGCTGCCGCGATTGGAACAAAAACAGCGTCGTGAAGATGTTTTAATCGAGTGTATGGCGAAGTTTCGCAGCAATAAAGCCGAGTTTTTGCGTCGATTCATAACCATGGATGAAACATGGGTCCATCACTTCACACTTGAGACGAAGAAACAGTCAAAACAATGGACCAAGGTGGCTTGATGGCTATTTTGAGGAGCTCGACGATTCCCACTATAAACAGGGTATCGAAGCTATTGAACATCGCTGGGAAAAGTGTATTGAATTAAAAGGAGACTATGTAGAGAAATAAAAATATTTTTTCCCAAATTTTTTGTGTTTTCTTTGTTAGGTCAGGTACTTCTGGGACTTCCCCTGGGGGGGGGGTATTAACAGCGAGCCCGAGGTGGCATCGGACGAGGAGAGGCCGTTGGCCTACATGGGCCGGCGGCTCCCTCGGCCACCTCGGGCCAGGCTCCGCCACTCGGAGGGGAGCGGGAAGGAGACCTCCCGCTCTCCCGAGTGATTGGATAGGGAGGAAAAGGGGAGGTGGGGAACCCGATTAGGGTCGGGCCCACCTCCCCAAAAATCCCCTCTCTCCCTTTAGAAAGGGGGGAATAAGGAGGAAGGGTGGATGTCCCTTTTCTCCAAGGTGACACCAGAAGGCCAACCGGCGGGGTTACCCGCCGGGGACTGCACCTCTCCCACTAATTCCCCGAAAGGGGAAGGGGGGTGCGATACAAGGAGGCGAGAGGCTCTTGGATTAGAGTCCTGGGGTTGGGGAGGGAATGCGGGAGCAGTTCCCCTAACTCCCCTCTTCACGGCTCGACAGGTAGACATCCCGCAGGGGTTTTAGTCGGTAAGAGTCCGACATAACCCCCGCCCCTCCCCAAGGGGGCGGGGGTATCCATGATGGATTTCCCCTGCGTGAACAAAAAAAAAGGTACTTCTGGGGCTACCCTCGTATATTATCTATGGCACCCACTCCTTTTCTGAAGCCCATTTGACTCGGAGGCAATAACCCTTTTTCTTCTTTTTTTTCTATCTCCTCCTTCAGCCTTTCTGCCAAAATTGTAGCGTATGTATTATATGCCGTCTATATCAACGTCACTCCTCTGTAAACCTCTGTAATCCTCCTCTCTCCCCCTCCTTCTTTAAAATTGGCACAATAACTCCCTCTTTCCAATTCTCCGGCTATTCCTCACTCTTCCACACCCTATCACAAATCTCCCATATTCACTCTTCCACTTCTTCCCCCCATACTTCCACACTTCATTTGAAATCCCATCCCTCCATCGCTTTCCCATCTTTTAACTTCCTTATTACCCTTTTCATCTCCTCTCTTTATATCCCCCTCTCCTTTCTCCTTTCCTTATTTCTTCTCACCCCTCTGACCACCTTCCATTCCACTCCCCCTAATCCTCCTAAAGTGTTTATCCCATTCTTTCATTTCAATTCCTTCGTTTATCCTCTTCTTCTTATCTCTATTTACCACCTTCCATACTTGACTTTCCGTTCTTGCTCTCTCTATCTCCCTCATCCATTCTACTCTTGCCCTCTCTTTCTTTTCTTCACATAATTTTCTGTACCTTCTCTTCTCCTTTTTATATTTTTTCTTATCTCCTCCTTCCTTTCTCCATCTTCTTAGCTCTCTTCTTACCTTCTTCTTCCCCTGTCTGCATTCTTCATTCCACCTCCTTTTCCCCCCTCCTTCTTCCCTTTTCCCGTCTTTTCCAACACCCCTACTATTTTTTCCCTCAAAACTTTTCATTCCTCTTCCACCAACCCTTTTCTTCCTTCTCTCTTCCCAAACTCCCTCTTGAACTCCCCTCTTCCCTCCTCGTTCCACTATCCCCTACCTACCTTTTTCCTTCGCAATCCCTGTCTCCTTCCTTCTTCCTTTCCCTTCTCCTCTATCCATACCGTTATCGGCTGATGGTCCGAATCAATTTTTTCTTCTACTTCCATTCTCTGTATTCCCTCTTTCGTCTCCTCATCTCCTATTATATAGTCAATTACCGATTTTCCCTGCGTACTTATATAAGTATACTCTCCTTTCTCATTCCCCTTATAATTTCCATTTAGTATCGTTCACCCCTGTCCTTCTTTGAATTCCCACAATCTCTTGCCTTCTCCATTAACTTTATCGTCTTTCGACTTCCTAACCTCTACCCTTTCCCCTCTCTCATTCTCCTCTCCTAAATCTCCCCCTCTCTTCCTGTTTTTGCGTTAAAATCTCCTATCAAAATTCTTACTCCCTCTTCCTTTTCCTCCATCCATTCTCTTAAGTTCCCTAACTTATTTTCTAAATCTTTATTCACATACACTCCTATTACTCTCCACCACTTCTTTTCCAATCTGACCTTGATCATCATAAT